TCGCCGAAGAACCATTGCTAGAAGCGATATACATAGAGTTGTCATCGGAAAGCACAATCAAGGTATCACGATTTGGCTTTCCAAGCATCTCACAATCATATTTAACGCCATAATCTACCAAGTCACTAGACAATATCCTCTTAGAATTATATATATTTACATTATTTGAGACGCTTAGAAAACCTTTTTCAGACAAAGGACCCACATCTTCAGAAGAACTTCTAGGAGATAGATCACCCGAAGACAAATTAATTTTTGGAGATGATGGAGTGTAATCAGCTAATCCCTTGATTGTTCCAACTTGACCATCACCATTATCATCAATCTCGGTATCAGACCGACCTCGCTTATTATGTTTCCTATCTTTACGCTTAAATAATCTTAATAAACCCTTTTTAGATTTGCTTTGATGATCATCCTTAGCTATAGGAGAAGGCATGCCATTCAAGCTTAGAGTTCTTGAATGTTTTCCACCACGACGTCCTTCCTCTGCTGGCGGACTTGGTTCTTCTTTTACTTGCGATGGAGGAATAAAAATTTGAGATAATCTACGATAGGGTAAATTTCTCTTGGAGGCACTAGGTTCAGACCCTACGCGAGACAGGGCATTTCTAGTATTATTTTCATTATTAATATCTTGTAACTCTGAGTGCTTAAAAGGAGTAGATATATCACTAATATTATTTCTTTGTTCATAATCCTTTATAACTTCCATGTGAGTAACGTGCCATGGATTTGGAGATTTTCTGTGAGATTCAGAACCACTTATTTTTCTTTGATTTATTGATTGTCTAATTTTATTAGCAGATATTGAGCTAATGTCATTTATTCCCTCATTATTAACATCGACTTTTCGATTTTTAACAACCAAAAGGGGATTATATATATCTTTATTATTAATAATCTTGAATATTACGTGATATTTGTTTTCGAGGTATTGTTTGCATTCTTTAGAGTTGGACAAAGTAGTCTCAGATGGAAAAAAAGAATGATCCTGAGGCGCTAAAAAACCGATTAATATTTTTAACATATTCAAAGCAATAAAAATATATATATAAAGGTAAAATTCAGAAACTACCATCGGTGCGCGTAAAAGATTTTTGAGCCAATGATTCTATACTATTGAGACTATTATGTTTTTTGTTTACATGTTTCTGTGTGGCTTGAGCTAATTTTAAGGCATCCTCATCTTTCACATCTGCTATTAATCTTGCGATGGATTCTTTATAATGGATCCGATAAAAATTTAGCATAATTGATACAAGTAATAAGTTAAAGCAACAGAAAAGTACTTGTTACCTTTTCCACCATCATCGGCCAATAAACTTCCAAAACCCTTGGCAGAATTAGCGGTTCTTTCTTTATTTAAATTCATTATATAAGAGATACTCGATATAAAAATCTTTGATATAAAGAGTGATTTGGAGAAATGTTATTCTGAATTATGAATTATCCAATCAATATTCAATATCAGGTTGATCATGCACGTCTGAAATGTGTGCCAGGTTTGTGGCGCAACTGTGGCGCATATTGCCTAAACTACGGGTCGGTTAAAGCGGAGCGAGGTTTAGAGTTACCTTTTTGATGCGGTTAAGGTTAAGGGTTATATAGATATCAAG